TTTTTATTCAAGGGAGACGAAAAAATGAAGTAAAGTCCATAAATTCTTCTCCGAGTTGGATTTCCGAAAATATGACATGAGTTTACCTGCAGTAGGTAGTTTAGATTCCTACATCGAGGTTTCCACCATTTCTCAATCATAAGGCTCTTCTCATTCAGCTCATAGAAAAACTACTGCTCAGCTTGAAATCAGAATTCATTCAGTCAATTCAGTCAACCCTGGTATACAGTCTAAGAACAGTCTTTTTTGATAAAATACATTACAAGCTTTCAGTACAATGTTCCCTACCTCGTAGAGATTATGCTGGAGTAGTAAACTCTAAAACTAGAGGATTGTTCCTATATCTTAGTATAGTTGAATCAGGAATTCCATATGGAAATTACGTATGATACGCCAGTGACCTCAATATAACCTAAAAAACAACGAATGTCAAAAATCTAGTGTTTATCCCCAGAATTGAATAAGGATGGAACTATATAACTGTTTCACAAACGCTTTAGAGTGAGAGGAGACGAGGATCTGTCCGTACCCTGTTAAGATGACTTTAACGTCAATTTCCATCAAGGGACCCTACCTGGGGCTACCCCCACCCCGACGCCGTGAGTACATGGTGGGCCTACGGCCGTGCCTCCTGCACAGGGCTAAGTCTGTCATTCATCCATCGCCACGGGTTCCCACAGCTTGGATTATGTTGCCAGTCCTCGGCCCCCAACACAAACATCAGCAAATCGCCCCAACTTTACCACAGATGTCTACAAATTATTGTGCCATCTGACGCAAGACGTCAAAGATGTTCCCGGAATGCTTCAGCTGTCGAGCGGCCGCGGTCTGTCCTCCCCACACCACTTGATGGTGAGGTTGGGCTTGGAGATTGAACAAGGAAGAGATAAAAGGATAAAGGATATCACCCAAGACAACTTGAAGTATGGTGAATATCCGGGTAGGGTACCTCGGGTTCACCATTCCATTCCACCATTGTGAGCCCCTGAGGGGAAATGCCACCTTGAGTTATGGACAAATAATATTGTTTGCAAAAATAGACATGCAAGATTCTAAATGAAAAAAGTTGAAATCACTTAATAAAACAGCAAGTGGTGAGCTATCGATTCAATTTTTTCTGTGAATTTCAAAATTCTATTCTAATGAATAAAGAAGATTCAGGCTGATGCTTTATTCTGTATCACTCAGAAATTCATATTTACTACGGGAATCGTATTATGACGGCAGCGGGCTTTCCGGGAAGAATCGGGGTATGGAAGCGGCGATTTATTAATGGTTTGATTTTTGAATTCAAAGAACCATTCGCATCTTGAAACATGGGCGTATTGACATTATTGGAGGTATTTTTTTCAATAACGTTGTAGTTTCTGAGATGATGCGAGGTATATGAAAAACAAATTAATGAAAATTCACATGTTGCAAGTTATAGCCGTTGGAAATATAATTTTCTCATATACCATAGTGTAATTAGTGGAATTCAAAATTTATATAATTTGTTCGATATGTCTTACGGAATTAGGATTTGACAGGGTGAAAGAACTGAAACCCATAAATATTTTCCGCGAATCGAATAGGGTACTGCATAGGACGATTAAAAAAAATTAAAACATGTGAGATATACAATACACTGTTTTACCACTATCCAAACCATGTTTTTTTTGTTCCAGTCTTCGATATATGAGAGATACCCGGTGTGAAGCCAGCAAGATGTCCGCGCGAGCAAGAAAAAAGATCGCGAAAAGCAGGCCGGGCAGAATAGATACGCGGAATATTAGGAATTTATTCTAAATTAGTGCAGCAGTGATTTTTCATCAGGAAAAATGCCGAACTATTAATCGAGATAACGAATAGGCATTATTGAAAGTTCGGAATTTCAATCAGGAAGAAAATAATTTTCATTTTTCATTGCGGGGTAGAAATCTGTCATTTTAAAAAAGAAAAAATGTCTTGCTATGGATTTTTTTTTGTCAAAATACACGTAACGTAGGCGAAAGAAGAGATTCATCATGTCTACTGATTTTGTCGCATCCATTTCACCCCGATAATGTCTAAAAACTCAGAAATCTGTCATTTTCATGAAGAAAAAATGTCTTGCTATGAATTTTTTTGTCAAAAAACACTAAACGTAAACGATAGAAGATATTCATCATGTCCACTGATTTTGTCGCATTCATTTCACCCCAAATCAGACAAAATCTGTAAACATGATGAATCTCGTCTTTCGAGTAAGTTACGTGAAATAGTGGAGAAATGGATGCGACAAAATCAGTGGACTGATGAATATCTTCTTTCGATTACGTTACGTGAGTTTTGACAAAAAAAATCCATAGCAAGAAATTTTTTCTCCATGAAAATGACAGATTTCTGATTTTTTAGCCAATATCGTGGTGAAATAGGGGTGAAATAGATGCGACAAAATCAGTGGACATAATGATTCTCTTTTTTTGTCTGCGTTACGTATTTTTTTATTAAAAAATCCATAGCAATAAATTATTTCTCTTTCAAAGTGACAGATTTCTAACAGCAATGGAAAATGAACATTATTTACTTCCTGATTGAAATTCCGAACTTTCAATAATGCCTATTCGTTATCACTAGTAGTTCGGCATTTTGCAAAATCAATCCTGCACTAATTTTGAATAAATTCCTAATATTCCGCGTATTTTTTCTTGCTGGCGCGGACGTCTTGCTGGCTTCACACCAATCACACCGGTATCGCCGAAGGCAAAATCGCCTAGCAGAAAACTATGCTTTATTCTTCATTTTCTACACAGGTCAAGTTGAAAAACACTGTAAGTGACACTTTGCCTTTCCATTTGTTTACAAATAAAATGTATATTTTCATTCGAGGATGAAAAAAAAAACCCTGCGTAAGGCAATTTTAAAGGACCCCGCACGAAAACACGGGAAATTGGCTCTTGGTCGAATTGGCTGAAATTTTACTATGTTGTTGTGGGATGGCTCATTAGAAAAATATGTGAGTATGAAAAGTTTTGTATGTTTAGTTTCTGAGATATAAGCCGACAAAGTTCGTAAAAACCTCGTATTGGGGTAGGATTGACAAAGAAAAAAAACAGTTTTTTTAGTATAAATAAGACAAAATAAGCTAGAAAATGTATTGATCGGAACTCAAATATATGTCTAGTTATGATCACATTAATTATAGTAAATCAGGGTGTATACGAGGCACGGTCAAAAAATTCATTTTTCGGAAAAAAAATTCGAGCACTATTCCAAAACCAACAAGTTATATTTTGGTGGGACATTATAGTTTCAGTCTATTGTAGGCTTCGAATACGTATTTTGATTCTTTATAATTATCTCTGTTCAAAATATGAATTTTTAGAATTCTGTGTTATACCTAACCCTTTTTGAAATCAATTGACAGCTTGTTTTTGATCACAAAGAAAGGGATTGATTGATACTGTTGATTGAATGAATGCTGAGGTATAACTCACTAGTGAATTCAGTTATTCAATATTGCCTTTCATTTAGATACAGGGTGTTTTAGATTTTGTTGAAGATTATTTAACATGTTTCAATTGAATATCTTATGAGTTATTGGGAAAGCTAGGTAATTTTTTCATCACCACAAATGCCTGGTGATTGGTGGGTTTTAGGAAATGGTAGAAATCTTATTAGATCTTGGAATAGGCCTGTATTAATCTGTCAAAAACAAAAGTTATATAGGGGGTGGTACTTTATGAAGTGTCACCCCATACAGTCTGTGGTTAGTGTGGCTTCCAATAATCTTTATGCAGTGTTGATTTTGATGATTTCAAACCTAATGCAGCCAGTTGAGAACTCAATCAAGGTGTCAATACTCTGACAGCCTGTATCTTTGCTAGTAAGCATTTTTAACCAAGGTTATTCGCGAAAATCACGAAGTGTGCGGCCTCTGGTGGCTAACTTTACAAGTCTTGGGAGTATGAACAACAAATATGGCGACCATTGTTTTGAGTTTCTGTGTTTTATTTGAAAATAATTTATTTGTTGAAGTGCATATTCCAGAACCTCATTTTTCCCTGATGAAAAAACTCGATTATTGCATGAACTTTTATTGTTTACAATGAAGAAGCCAGTACCTACCTTATAATAATATAATATACATTTTCTGAAGCACAGTTATTAGAATCCTTGTATAAATGTTGGTTGTTGGTTGAAATGATTCGATCTTGAGAATAACTCCAAGTCTTCAATTGCTGGAGATCCTTGTTTATGTAAATCGATGATATTGTTCATTCTGAGCAGCCTTTCCAACCATATCTTCTTTTCCCAGCCCCTTCACTATAGAATTACATCTCCTCTCCTTCATGAAAGCCAGTGATATTTCTTGATGAATTCAATTATTTCTTCATACCTATACCATATTGTTGTAATAGCTGATTGCTTATATGCCTCCATTCCAGTCCATGCAAGTGTTGAGTGGACCATTCTGACCATTCCATATGTTTGAAAACTGTGGAATTGTAGTGTGATATATCAATGATGAATACCACCATTGTCCACATCAAAATGGCAATTTCTCTGCACAAAAAGTAATTTTTTCCATACTGGAAACCTTGTACGTATTTCACGAAGTCAACTCATTATTCACTATTCTGCAAAATGATTTCAAAATAACCAATTTGCAGTGAGTGCATACGGCAATGTTTTTGTTGTTCATACTCAGTTTGAAATTTGACGTTAAATAGAGCCATCTGTTGGTAGATTGCTATTGGTTCGTGATTTTCGCGAATTTCATGAAAGTCTACTTCTTTCCTGTTGTTTCATCACCTATCAAAATTAATGACATTCAACTTGGAGTCATGGACTGCAGACTGCAGCAGGCATTTGTCCCAATCCTGCACGTCCGCACCATAATACATCTCACAAAATTAGGTAGCTAAAATTGGCTTGATTAGGGCTTTCTCAGGATAAATCCTGTTTGGCACAATACACAATAAGGGAACATATTTCTTAGGTTGTGAAATATAATAATTTATTTATTACATACTCACTAGGTGATTTTCCGAATTTCTCATAAAATAGAAGTTCTAGGTCGCAATCACTCAAAAGGGTTAAAATTGTGAATATCGTCCCATAAGCACACACTCCTGCTCCCATTAAAGCAAAGAACATTGTGAATGTGAAACCTGAACCTACTCCTAGTCGCATCATTCCCATTTCGTGCCAGAGCCTTATTCAACTATTAATTCATCAAAATCAAAAATCTTTCTACAAGACTGAAATTCTTATCATAAACATCTCACATGCATCATTTACACCAATATCTATCCACCTTTATTTACACGAATCATTTATCATGAAACAAATAAACAAAAAAAAACTTCCATCAGTGTTGTTCCTGGGTCTGATTTTTTCGTAATAGATTTTCTTGGAAAATGGTAACAATTTGTATCAAAAAGTAATAGATCCGATCCGAAAAATCTGACATTTGACATTCTGAATGTCATTCTTGTCAAACCATATCGCAAAAATCAGACAGTTTTGACAGAAATGAGGCAGAAGTCACACAGAACTTATGACATAAATATAGAACATAGACCCATAGAGCGCAACATAATTATCCGCTGAACACAGTAATAGATTTATTAGTAACAAAACATCATATTTTGGTGCTAACATCAAATAGATTCATGACAAATCGTAATATAGTAATAGATCCATTACAAAAGTAATGACAAGCACAACACTCTCGTCCATTCCGATTCCCATCAATCCCCTTCCCTTCTGCCTTCAGTGTTGCCATAGCTGCACCATAGCTTTTGAACGCTGAACATGAGATGTTGCAAGAAGACGCCAGCGAGCAAAAAGCCCGCCGCAGGCGAAATTGTCAAAGATTTGGCGACTTCTTTCCGTGATTTAGCGACATTTTTGATCATCTCTCACGACATTTGATACATGGAGATGACTTGGACCATACTTGGACAATGTCTCATTCTTCATTAAAAGTTTACCTGTAATATTTCATTCGGTACTATGGCTATAGGTACATTGGTGAATCCAAAATATATTCCTCGGACGTATTTGAAGTATTTCTTTGGTCAAATCACACGTTAAATAACCTGTCATACCATGACAACTCATATTTTTAGCTGTTTAACATCATTCAGATCTGCGACTTCATTGTTATTAGGGACCCTAATTGTTATTAGTCAAGTTATAAGTCACACATTTCAATTCTGATGTAGAAAAAATAGAAGCTTTAACAACAAGGATTTTATACGAATGATTTCTCGAATGTTTCAATTCATTTTGTTCTTACAAATCCATGTAATCAGAATATTTCCTTTAAAACCACTCTAATTATCTTGGAAACGCTAGTCTGGTAACTTATCTCTGGCTAGAATTCCGACACGTCGGAAATGAAGTTGAAATGTCGCATTCACCTAACCTAAAAACTCTAGTTTTAGCGACAAAACCGCTAAGAACGCAGCCCTGGTTGCCAACAGTGTTGCCACAGTCATGTTTTTTTCGAGAGAATAGAGTGAAATCTACCGTCAAATACGAGCGAGAGATATCAACTCAAAGAGCGAGATTTTGTTGTTGATGAAATAAATAAATGGATTGACTCACAACACATTACTCTGTTACCTAGGTATACATAAATAAATATAAAAATGAATATTCTAGATTCTTTTCGCATTTTCATTGATTTATGCTTGTTCTTTTTGTGACGGGAGAAGAGTTTGACATTTCATCCTTGGTGACAGGTTACAGAATGTCACTTTTCATGAAATTACTTTCTACCCACGAGAAAAAAGTGGGTACTTTGTTCAACTTTGTTGTGCCAGTTCCGAAAAATAAGCCAGTAACACAGATTCCAGTAACTCTCCGAGAAAGGAGCAAGTCCTTTTCATCTTCCATTCCACTTCGCGGTTTCGTCAGTCCTTTTCATCTTCCATTCCACTTCACGGTTTCGTCAAGAAGTCTTATAACTTATAAACACTAGAGTCTAACTTGCTAACGGAGGAGCCGCCGAAATTTCCCGAACGTACACCGAAAGACGGCAGTTATGCCAAATGAGTCAATAAGTCGTGGAATCAAGTCTACACGGAATTTCCTGAATAAAAACAGCACTGAAATCGAATATGAGGAAGAAAAATATATTTTCTGCCTAACCTAATATAACTTTCTTCCTAGAAAGTATGTTTTTTGAAAAAATCGTGATGAATCTTCAGTAAAAATAAACGCTCTACGTCTAATTTCTACCTCATGAGTCCCTCTATTCAAATAAATAATAATATCACATACAGGGTATTGCATTCTATCATGACAAGGTAATATTCATGGGAATGAATCCATGCAAAATGAGATACATATCACGAATGGTTCATGACTGTTCATATAATACATAGGGTGAAAAATAAAATGTCTTGTATAATGAACGGGTACCTATCTTGACAAAATTATGTGGATTTCTGAATTCATTTGAACTTAGTACAGTGAAGAATACAAGGATAACTTTTATCATGCGTCTACGAGGAATACCTAATTCGAAAGAACTAATTAGGCAATATTATTGAATGACCGGACGGATATGTTTATTTTGAATTGAGTGCAGCATCATTAACATAAACAGATGTATAGAATAAGTAGGTACTTTACCTTTGTAAAATGAAGTTACCGGTCACTTAGAAACAAAGAAGGTTTATATCACAGGACCGAATTGAGAGACAAAAATGACGTTGATGAGAATTTGCAGTGGATTTATAAGTTCAGCACAGAAGGAGTGACTTTAATCTGATTGGCTCGAAAGATCAATAAATTAATATTCAGCCCAAATAAATAAAGGAAAGAGCATGTCATTGTCAATTTTGTTAATATTCATGAAGTGAATTATTATCATAACATCGAAATAATCTCACTTGTGCAAATTGAAGTCAAGAAAAATTAATGAGGATCATAAACCACATCGAATTATTGCTTAAAAAAGGGTTAATGGAAAACTATAGTAAGTGACAGTTTTGTCAACATTGATTTGGAGCTTAAAATTATTTATCGTCATAACAATTCAGAACTACAACGAAAACTTTTTAGTTTCGCAAATTGAACCTAACATCTGTAATTTATCGCTCAAAAATCTACGAAAAATCTTGCCTAATATGAACACAACATGGAGCTTGCCTTATATTTAATCGATTCTCTCAAAATTTATTGCAAAAATTCTGTATGAAATCAGGAACAATCCGAATAAAATAAGACAGTCTGAAGTTATTTTTGAAGCAGTCTTGATCAGTCTCCAATACGATATGTCTCGATGTCCGTTCTAATAGTTGAAAGTTTTGTTAGTGAATCTCGGGAATGATTGAAGTTCAATCATTGAATCTATTGATCAGAATGTTAAATGTGGAGTCTCAAACGTGACTCAATACAAAACGTCTCGAGCAGATTTTGTATCTGTCTATCAAACATGCTACGTTCGAACAGTACCAGTGAACTTCGTTAATAATACCTATGTAATTAACCACTCAGGTAAATTTATTGTAGAATGCAACCTTTTGTGACTTAGACGTAAATAATGTGGAGTGAATCTCTCGCCAATTAAACACAAGTGAACAGTAGAACAAAAATGTTCAATTTAAAATGTTAGCAAACTTTGATTTTGTTGCCAGTAACCTCTGCCTGACCATACTACCTGAATATATGTCTCAGTAACTATTTATATGGTGTCTTAATGTCTACAATCTCAGCCTGCCTCCTGCCTCAATAATCACAAACCCATTGAACGAAAAAAATTACTTTGTGACGACCCCCTGTAGTAGGCCAACGAACGAAGTTTTGGGCATTACAGTCTCATGAAATACCCTTACCAACCCCTGAGTCATTCAATAGTATCACCTACTTGTGATACCTCATTGAATAGCTCGGTGAGAATGCATTCCAGAGGTATTATTCATATCTCGGACTGGGAGAACTAACAAAAAATATTCATTACCTATATCAATCTGAGTCGAAATTCTGATATTTTCAATATTTGTCTATATATTCCCATGAATATTACCTTGTCATGATAGAATGCAATACCCTGTATGTAATATATTATTAGACGTAGAGCGTTTACTTTTACTGGAGATTCATCACGACTTAGAGCATAATTTCAAATCGATGCAAAATATCCTTACCAGCCAAAATCAGATGATTGACACCCTGTAGCTCGAAAACTGGTCATAGGATCGATCTGTGAATTAGACTGTGTATTAAGGACGCTATATAATATCTGAAATATATCGAATTAGCCGAAAGCCATTTTCCGTACTAAATGTGCGAGGTCCTTTAAAAATGAGACTGTTCATCCTAAAGGCACTAACCTATTTGACTTCAAATATTTTCTGAGGAAGGATAACCAGAATGAAGTGAAAAAGCATAGGTGAAAAAAAAAGTTGTGAAAAAAAGTTCAGGTGTACAGCGACTCGAACCATGGACCTTCAGACTGAGTATTAAATTCATTTATTCATCATCAGTGTTATAAAACAATACATCACATATTTCAATCATATTTGCATACAATAGATTTGGCATATCTGGGAGTATGCCTGAACGTTTCTCCACTGACGCAGAGGTGGCTGGTGTTAGCCAAGGAATATGAGAGGATATGTGAGGTATTCGTCGCAGTGACCAGTGACCTATCCTATCTCACACACACACACCACGCCCCCCCGAAAGGTTGAATGCCCAGGATCAAGTGCCGCCATCTAACTAGCTTACGTTATATGATAGCTCCTCATCCCCATGTCCATCCACCCCCACTCACTAACGAGTGGACTTCAACCTTATGCATTTGGCAATCTGCATATGTTTTATAAATTCCCTTACTTGGTTTCAGTCTTCCGACTTTCAAACCTTTTTGTCTAATGTGTGTTTCCTAGCCTGACTTTGCGTGGTGGTTCCCTACCCTAATGGGAAGCAAAATTGAGTTTATGTCTTATTATTATTGGTTTACCTTTTTATAGGGTATCAAAGGAGAGACTTTTTTGTTTAATTATCTGATGATTATTATGCAACTTTTATTGATATTGATTGAATTCCGTTCTTTTATCTTATATTTGGTGAATTGGGCGCCCGTACTTTATTCTTCCGAAGCGCGGGTCTTGATTTAATTGTCTGTTGGTCAGGTCGTGCAGTAGCGGCTTCTCGTGGGTTTCCGTTCTTCCGAATGTAGTCTCCGCGTGTTGTCTTATGTAGTTGTCTATCTAGTCTGGGTTTATGTTCAGGTCTCTATAGATAAATCTATTTGGGATATACCATGGGGCGTTTACTGTCATTCTTATTGAGACATTTAGAAATGCCTGTATTTGGTTTTTG